AGGGCCCCCCCCCAGCCCCTGCCTGGGTCAGAGGGGGGCCCGTGCCCCCCCCCCCCCCAACTCACTCAAGAGGCACCAGACATCCATGACGCTACTGTTCTTACTATTAGGAAGTTTTTCCTGAAAGTTCATTTAAGTATGTTTTGCTGCAGTGTAAACCCACTGCCTCATGTGTTCTCTGTGGCAAGTTGCTCTCCCTCTTCCTCTGGCAGCCTTGCAAATATCTGAAAAATTCTGACTGTGACTGCCCCTTCCTCCAGTCCCCAGTCTTTTCTCAGAGCTAAACATACCTAGTTTTTTCAACCTTCCCTTGTATGGTTTGCAGGGCCGTCCCTAGCGGGGGGCAAATTGGGGTGACTACCCTGGGCCATACGCTTTTGGGGGCCCTGCAGAGTGGGGCAGAGCAGCAGCAGCACAGAACCGGGAGGAGCAGTGGCTCCGTGTCCAGCCACTCATTACCTACCCTTCCTCCTCCCCAACCCCACTCCAGGCAGCTTCTTTGGGCCCAGGGCCCAGATTGGGCTTGAGGCAGGGCCCCACATGGGCTGATTTGCCCTGGACCCCACACCCTGCTTAGGTCAGCTCTGATGGCTTGCATTCCAATTGCTTTATCATCTTTCACACATCTTTGGATGCTCTCTAGTTTCATTTAATAAAAGTAGTGCCCAGAACTGGATACAATATTCCAGCTGAGGACTAACCAGCTCCAGTGATACTTCTGTATGTTGCTTATAATACTCTGTTAATGCAGCCCAAAATAGTAGTTACTTTTTTTGTGACAGCATCACATTACTGACTCATGTTGTGTTTATGATCCATCATAATGCCTAGATCCTTATCAGCAGTGCTACTGGGATTGTGTGTCAAAGACTGTCATAAAACATCTGTCATGACTTGTGCTTGGGTATCCTTAATTCTACCTTTGTCTCTTTTAATTTCAGCCTTAACCACCTTATAATATATTTCTTTATGTAATATGAATTTATGTTACATACTTTTGTACAGAAAAATATTATAGTTCTGAAAGTTTCCGCATAAGGCCTGCAGCAAAACTGATCAACTAAAGAAAAAGAGGGGAAGGATGGAGATTTTTTTTATTTTTTGATTTTACTGACTTAATAGTTTCACCAGAAAAAGACAACATTTGATTTACTATTGATGAAATAATTCCATTACAAAGATCAGTTTTGCTAATCAGCAAGAAACTTTGTATACTTGTAAGAATAATACTAGTTAGCAGAAAACATGTAAAAGTGAAAAGCACAAAAGTCAGTTACCATTAGACTGCACTGTTAAAGAAAAATCTCAAGTTTTAACTAACAAACTATTAAAAATACCTGAGACGTAGGTCCTCCCATATTTTCAGCAATCCACATAGCATTACTAACTCATAGTATTTTTTCCAGCATTCAACAGCTTCTTCTGCTGAAGGTTCTTCTTTAATATTGCTTTGATACTGAACCAATTCCAAATGCATGTTCTTATACTTCTCCAGATGTTTCCTAAAACGATGACCAATTGGAGCAGGAATAATCCCACTCTCAATATCGCACCAACTTTGAAAATGAGAATAGAAAAGTTAGACTTTAACTAACAAAGAAACCTAAAGACTCCAGAAAATGTTTTGCAACATACTTACATTTTAATTCTCTCTTCTATCAGAGCTGCATAGGCCTCACAGCTTTCATCATCATCCCAGTCTCTCCAAAGGAAGTCATAGAAAAACCTAATAGAGACATAACATAGACTCTGTAATATTGCACATTTCTAAAGGAACAGGGGGAAAAAACCTTTTGCTCTCTAGTGTAGTGCTCTAAAGTTCTGAAAAACAGTATTTCACCTTCTTAGATACTGTAACACTATAATCTATTTCCTGCAAGAACAATCTGCTAATTTCTAAAATCTGATCTCTTTTGTGGATCTCTCACTTGTGTATTTATGTAAAAACGTAGGTGCTTGCATAAGCACTTTGTTCATGGCTGGCTAATGAGTGACTTTTTTTTTTTACATGGTGTGGCAGGGCACTGTTGGTGCCTGCCACTTTAAGGGCTGAGCCAAGCAGCCACCAGGTGCTTGATTGCGCGGCCATTTTTAGATCTCCGGCCACCTATATAAACAGAACTATTTGCTGTTGGCAGGCCAGGCAGAAACTGCCTGGCTGCAAGACTGAATGCAACATCCTCGAGATAATGGGCAGGAGCTTATGGGGATGAATTAGAGGCTTCTGGTCCTGGGCATGGCCTAAAACTGCACCCTGCTGAGAGTGGGTGGCCTGGTGGGGTTCTCAGTGGTGCGGGAGCCCCCAGGAAATACCAGGCCAGTTACCATCCCAGTGAAAGGCGGGTCAGGGCACCTTAATAACCCCAGCTCCCACAACCGGGTGGATTACCCCATAACAGGGCCAAGAAGGCGGACCTAGGTTAGACAGTGGGCTATAGACTTAGAAGCCTGACTTAGAATACCCTCGACTGGTCAATGCTGGGGCCAGGACCAGAACAGTCAAAAGGGCCAGGGGCCCACCACGAGGGACGCCCAGAGCTGAGGGCCTGGGGTTTCCAACTGGCCTTGGAGGTGAGGCCAGGGCCAGGGCCTGTGTGGGCAAAGGTCAGGGAGCTAGGCAGCCCAGAATGAGGGCAGAGTAGGTCGCCTGATTGGAGGGATCCAGTTGGGGTCCAGATTGGAGGATTCTGGGACCAGTGATGATAAGAACAATGGATGCCATCTGCGAGGCTTGGGCTGCAGTGTAGGGGAGGAATGGAGCCGCAGATAGCACCCCCTGGCATCGGGCCAAGAAATGGGGCCCCCTGCCTAATTAATATCATAATTACATATCATCAAGGTGTGGCAGGAAAGGAGGCGGGTGGTTGGCCCAGAAACAGGTGGGCGGGCCCTTGGTAGACTGGCCCCAAGGAAGCCCCCTGTTACACATGGACACCTGGGGTAAGGACTAGGGTACAGGTGGTCAGGGAAGGTCACCTGAGACTTGGGCAATGAC